TCTTTGCCTTATCCTTGTCATTCTAGAAGCACGCCCTGTTGCTAACATGAATGTTTTTCTCATTCATGCTCTGTTATGAACCATTGCACACTGAAGCCCAGCGTACAGTCCCAAATAATGAAGGCAAAATTTTAAAAAACTTTTTGTACTTTTATTGTTTTTCTTTAGAAAAATACAAAATGAAGCAAAAATGATCTTTTACACTACACCGATGCAAATCCGAGGAATAAAGTAAAGTAGTGAGAAAATCAATTGGTCCAGTTTTGATCATCACTAAGAATACATTCATAATTCTGGATCCAATTTTTATTTCCAGGTCCCTGATGCTTTTTAGATGTCTTAGAGAGGACATGGTGCATTAGACTGAGTGAACCTTGTGGCTTTGACTGAACTGCTCCTGCACTCCTGATCTCTGGGAATACATACCTGATTTTAGTCAACAGCTTGTCTCTTGTTAAGGAAAAACCTATGTAAATGAGCATTTCGGTGGAAGAACCAGCCAGAAAGAATGCTCCACTTGAGACACGACAGTTCCTGTGTCTCCCTTGGGTCTCTGTCAGATTATGAACTCAGTGATGAAGCTTCAGTATCCCCATCTTTGAAATGAGCATGAAATTGGACCAGATTAGGAGCTGGTCTACAGATATTTTTTGGATAAACCACATGGTGTATTAAATTGGAAAATTTCACATGAAAACTGGGATTTCCTGCTTCTTTTGAAAAATCAGAAAATCTGGCATCACTGGGCTCAAGTTCTCTTAGAAGGAGTTGTCTTAGGGAAGGCTGGACCTGACCAGCCACTTCACCCAAGAGGAGCAGACACACACACACACACACACACACACACACACACACACACACACACACACACACACACACACACACAAACACACACACACCGCACACACACCGTGCAGGTGGAGTCTGTGCCATCCTCTGTCTTACTTGCAGCAGCACTTGAATTTACAAATCCTAGGACACGCCTGGCTTTTACATTAGGTTCCGGGATGTGGTGGTAAATGTTTAACGTGGCAGCTATCAAGGAAAGAAAAGCCCTGATTTGTAGTGTTTGCTGATTTCCATGGTGTTAATGCTCTCATCATGGCCAATTTCAAGTTACTAACATGACAGAGATGCATGTAGCCCACATAGCGTAGTGTGGTGTAGTGTGCTATGGTATGGTATGGAATAGTATAGTATTCCTACAATACAGATATAATAGAAATAAATAACCTCAAGAGGAATAGATAATGGTAAAATGAAGTAAAAATAATAGGAAGTGGTGAGTTTTAAGTATTTATTACCTTGTCAAAAAAATAATGTATTTAATTCTACATTAACGTAATTTAATTTTTCGCAATGTTTGTTTTTAACAGCCAGCTCATAAATTTTCTGAATGTTTGCAAATCAGTTTGAGCTGACTCCAGCACTCTGCTGATTATTCTTAAGGCCAGAGTCAGTGTGCTCTTCCTCACGTATCCTTAGACCCCAAACCAGCACTTGCATATTAAGGTCACTCAGTACAACTGTGGAAAGAATGAATAAATATTCAGTGAGTCTATATGCCTAATTCTCTTTGCATTTCCAGGAAGCCAAGTTTCTTCCCTAGGCAGAAACGAGGCAGAAATTTTTACTTGCCATAACTTACTTTATTCACACCCCTCCCCTTGTTATTTTTAAGAAACAAAGGAAAATCTTGAATAAAAGATTTAAATCATCTTTGGACTAAAATCAGGTAATCTTTGGATAAAAAGTGAGGTTATATTCTGAATAGAAATAGTTAATCACAAAGCATGTAAGGGCCTGGTTGTGTGAAAACTGACTCAAAATAATGTGAATAAATACAAAGTAATGTACAGAAATT